AATTAGTTTTTTTACTGTTTGAATACCTACAAACAGTGCAACTTTGTTTGTGGTATTCATATGGGCAATAAATTTGTCTACAGGAACTAATAGCATCTAAATTTTTCATTTTTAAGTCATAATTTTCCAATATTTTTTTCAGTTTCATCTCCAAATATGTAATTTGTTTACTTTCTAATTATAAACAATACAACCCAAACGAAATAACTTTTTATCTAAAACTTAAAAATTAATTTATGAAATGCGTTTTACCAAAAACAATAATATGTTGTTAGTAAATTGTGTCTACTGTTTGTTTTGTTTGTTAGTACAATAAACATAAATGTTTTTAAATCAGTAAAAAATATAATAGTTTTTTACGCCATTACTTTGACAACTTGTGTTATTTATTAAAACATGCAAATTATGATTATAGTAATTAAGTAGACAATTGGTTTCGTTCCCAATTTCAAATAACGACAAACAGTCACATTGAGTCAGTGGATACACAATGAGACAGCACATAAAATAAAACTCTTGAAGACGCACAAAAACAGTCTATTTGCGCACCAATTCCACACTTTTCAGTTTTCCCTTGGCGTGGATCCCCAGACCCCCTTTCTTGTAAACGGAGTGGAACCACATCCGCGTCCACACAGTACGGACAAGGAATATGTTGACACGGGAAAGCATAGACGGTCGCATAAAGGTGGATTTCCCAACAAAAAAATATTGGGGCAAATGCTTTACTCCGAAAATGGAGTGAGGGTCGGAAAGAACGGTCACAGTATAAACACTTTTTATGTGCAATTATTGATAAATTTTTTATTATACTTTTGTTCAACACAATTCTTCTAACTTTTGTTAATGGATTCTTCGTAAAGAAGTGTTATTTGTATTATCAATCAAATTGATGCTTGGTAATTATCAATTTTTATTAAATATCTAAACAATTGGCGATACACATTTGTGATGAAAACAGTGAATACAAAGTAATCAACAGTTCAATTGAAAAAATCACAATAAAGAACAAATTAACACTTCGAACAATTGTCAAGTAGTTTAAAACTTATATAAACGAGTAAAAACATTTTCATTTTCAATTATAGTTGACATGAATTAAAAAGTTTGTCTCTGCACATTAATTATAAGAGTAATATTTTTTCAAAATATTTAAATGATATTTGCTTATTATTTTACAGTTACAGGTAGAGTAAAAACCCATCAAAACGTTTTAAACTCCTCAAGCTTCAAATTAAATTAATTACTCCGTTATCTCGAATAAGTACGATAATAAATTAAACAATAAGAAGTGTTGTATAACAAAAACAAAAACAAAATATAAAATATAAAATTATAAAAAATACGTTTGTTTATAACTGTTCAAAACATGATCATAACAAGTTGAAATTGTCTAAAACCGTAAGAAGTAACATCGGAGAACAAGTTTCAAAAACATTTTTGTGGAATTGGCTTACAATCGTTGTCCGAAAATGTCGTTTCTAAATATAAAATATTTTTTCTGATTTTGACCAATCAATTGACGAATTTAGAGGTTTTAGAAAACAATAGGGGTTGCGTACTGACCTGTACAACAAGAATAATATTAACTTTATGGGGTTAGTACTGACCTGTAATATATAGGTAAAATGATTAAAAATTTATTAAATATAATTGTGGATTCAATATATAAATAACTCTACTTTTAGTTTGATTTAAAATTTTGTTTGGATACAAAACAACCAACAATTCAATTTATTTAAAAATAACACAGAACAGTTACACTTATCAAAACAAACAGAGAAGACACCCCTTCGACCAAAAAGCATAAATCACCACCTTCTGAAAAACCAATTGAAGGGTTCTCCCGATCTCTCTTACATCCAAAGAAGTCATTGTTTTGTATTATATTTTTATCGAAATTGTCATACGTCACAAACACTCCTTTTTTAAACAAAATACTTTCTTTGTGTGGAACAAAGCAATTAACACTCACATTCCACTCATCGTACATTTCTGAACTGCAATTTCTATACTTTCCTCCTCCAAAAAACGAAGAAATATCGTTTTTATCTGATGGATAATATTTTGAATATTTGTCGCCATTAGTCCCATTCCATGTATCTTTCATAACGATTTGGTGAATTCCATAAAATGCGTTATCGCTGATGTTCCACGAGTTATACTCAGAGGTATTTACCATTGCAGAAAACCACTCACTTTTAGTGTATATAAAGTTGTTCTTAAATTCGTTATTCTTTGACACCCCTTCAACTACACATTTGTTTTGGAACGCCAACGCCGCACTTTTTATATTCCAAAATGTGTTGTGCACGACTTTGATTTCAGTGTAATACGCGGCAACACTCCACCCCCAATAACTCACGCCATGTGTGTTACCCAACATGAAATTGTTTCGAATTGTAACATTTGAAATTGGCACTGCGGTTTCTATAAAATCCTCACAGCCAAGTGAAATTGCGTCGTAACAAGGAGAGCAACTGTCATCTGCTATAGACCCATTAATCTGTCTAATCACATTATTTTCTATTAAAATATTTTTAGAGTTATCAATGTAAATTGACTGTGTGTGAATGTCGTGGACATAATTTGAACGAACAATACAATTTGAACACAGACCAACTCCAATTGCTTCGCCCCATGAGTATGTCACTTCAATGTTCTCTATAATCACATTTTCTGAATAAGTTGGTTCTTTCTGACTGATTGCAGTTACTCCTACACATGGCGTCCATGTTTTTGACTTGCAATTTTGATTTGAAAGAGAACAATTGGCAACTTTACTTCTCGAAAATAAAATGTTTTTGCCAATAAAAAATGCAGCAAAATTGGAGGAATTTAAAATATTGAAATTGGAAAATGTGACATGGGTACAATTTTGAACACTAAGATTAATCCAAGTCCCACCTCGTATTGTGAAAGGGCCAAGTACATTAATATAGGAACTATTTGATATTGTAAAGGCGTTAGAAATGCCTTGTGCATCAAAAATCACTTGAGAATTACTTGAAGATCGAATTGTTATTGGATTGTTTTGTGTCCCACTTATTCCATTTTTTAATTTTTGTGATTCATATAAGCCAGGTAAAAACTCTACAATGTCACCAGGTAGTAATAAATCACTTACTGTTAGCAATGAATTTACATTTCCATTATGACTTATTGTCACGATTTTTGAGAAGGAAAACATTAGAATATTAAAAAACAAAACACATTTCATTGTTCTGTCGATATTGTTTTATAGATTTATAGATACTAAAAACGGGCGTTTCCAAAATAATAATTGCCGAAAAAGTGGTATTATAACGTACGAATTTATAAGAAAAAATGAACATTTTGGTTATAAAATGGTGACGTGGGCAATTAGGGTTCTGTTTTTAGTAAGCTCTGACTAAAAACATGATTCTTTTTCTATGTGTTTTTTTAATAGTTTTTATTTTCGAATAGTATATTTATTAAAATTATAATAATTTTTATTTTTTAATGTTGTTTGATTTTATAATGTTTTATTTGAGTAATCAAAATTTCTTTTATTATAATACGTTGATACGGTAGAAACATTTAACCTAATGTTGTACTTTAAGGCTTATGCGTTTTTAAAATGGTTTTATATTTTAATAATAATATGAAAAACCATAACAAACAATTTACAGTAAAACCTCTCATAATCTATATCTTTCAAGAGCGGTTGTTATAATACACATAAATTACTTAAAAGTGGAATTCCATCTACTTTAAGAAAAGTAAATACAATACATTTTGTGATTGTAATATCGAAAAGTTAACTCTTCAAAATGTAAAAGTCTTATTACATGCTTTTCGTTGCAACGACAAATTGACCAAAGTCGTTGTTTTAAACAGCGTCACAACTTCCAAATTAATATTTTGCAATTGTTTTAATGTTAGAGTCGCTAAATTAACAAACATTTTTCTGCCGATTGATAAGATTTGTATTAGAGGATGTACCAATATTGATAAAATTACAATTTTCTATTTGAAATCATTAAGATGAAAATAAGTCCTGTTCTTCTTCCCGAGTATAAAACCTTTTTCCGAACAATTCAATTTAATCGTTCACTGATACATTTTTCTATATATGTCATTATATTAATTCTTTGTATGTCTATACCAAACATCTTTCTCTATTTCATAGGATCGGTCTACTCTTCAACGTACTCATATACCAACTTGTTCACAAACTTACTTCCTGGTGTTTTAGTCTACTTTGTATACTTAATAACATTCACACCGTTGCCCTCTAATATTTTGACACTTCAAATCGACTGGCGCAAGCGCTGGCCTTTCATTTTATGTTCGCTCTTCATTGGGCAGTTATTAGTAGTTTTAGGATTTGTGTTATATTACATTTGTTATCCATCAGACAAAGAAGTTCTGCGATACAAATTATTCAGACAACCGTTCTGATTCCGAAATTAAATAGTTTATAACTCTTTTCTAACTGTCGTTGGCGCTCCACTGACTTATTTTGGGATGGTCTTTCTCTGTGAATTGGGACTCAGAGGATATTTGCTTATATCCATCGCGTCACACGTACATCCAGCAGTCGCAAATATCATAACTTCTTTCATACAAATTGTTGTGTATGCGGTGTATGATGGACTGAGTACAGTAAGACCTCTATTATTTCCAAACCTTGACAATTTCAAAGATTTGATTGGTTGTTTGAAGTTTTTTGGAAAAATGCGAGGTAATCTTAAGTTAGTTAATTTAAATTATTAGCTGATATAACAATTTACTAAAAAATTCAAAATCTTCAATTTGGAAAGTGTCAAGGTTTTTAAAATAAAAAAATTGGAAATAATCGAGGTCTTACTGTATTAATCTTTATTATTCATATCAGTACATATTTGCAAGTGCTTTTATGAGGTTCTTTCGGGCTCTTTTACTTGGAGATGTGATGATTAAAAGTGGAAACGTGTTTGCACTAGCTTTCGTCTCTGCTGCATTTATTAAATGCAGTTCACTCTTTAGTGTGTTTTTGAGTCCTTATGCATATTTAAACAATGTGTTTCTCGGACCAACAGAGAGTGGTGTCTTGAATAACTTACCAATGTTCTTGCTCGCAAATGTTTTGAACATTTTTAATATTTTTGGTGATGTGGACGAAATTACCAAAAATGGAAATGCAGAGGAAAATGGTTATAAAGAAATAGGAAGTGAGTTAAATACAAAAAATGATGAAAATAAGCCATTGACTATTAATTAAATACTTTCAATTGAGTCGTTTTAATGAAGTTAAAATTGAATTTTATTTGTTCGTATTAAATCAAAATATTAATAATTTTTAGTTTACATTATATTAACAATAGATACAGTTAGTAAATAAACGCTTTTTTATTGTAATAATCATCTCTATGTTTTTTAGTAAAGAAATTTATTACAATGACATCTAAGTGTTTTGATGGTTTCTTAATTCATTCATAGCTTGTGATAGATATTTTTGATGGAATTTATGTTTTATAATTATGCAATTGTCACAGTAAATTAATAATCAATAAAAATAAACACTTAAAGGATTCATTCGATTATTGTGCGTATTTGGATATTATAAAAATTTGGCTGGTTTTTGTAATAAAAACAAACTAAATGGTGTATATTTTGAATGGTAAATCAGATTTCATATTAGAATTTAAATAAGTGTACATTTTATTTAATTACTTTGAACATTGTTTTAAATAAAATAACCCCTTTAAGAACTTTGTATTTTCATTTTATCTTAAAATACATTTCTTTGTGTTATTCCCAAAAGTTTTAAAAATTAAAATTTGTTGGTTTAAATAAATAATATATTTTTTTTATAGTAAGTAGAATAATAAAAAAGTATGTATTATATATATAATTAAAATAATTATGATAAGTGATACAGTTAGCTAAACATTGTTTTTTTGTTAAGTTTGGTTTTGTTTTCTTTAAGTCTATTTTTAATTAAAATGATCTATTATTTTAATATATTAAAGTGATATAATATTTAAATTAATAAATTATAATATTAATAAATTAAAAAAAAACAATGGAAACAAAGAACATTTATTGATTATATATTTGGACCAGTTTTAATGAAAAAACGATCAAAATAACATTTTAAAAAATGGTCATTAAAATTTTGTATATTTAATTTAAGTTAATTTAAATATATAAAAAAACAATTAAAATTTAAACACTTTTTTAAACTTTATTATTCACAAAAATTGGGAGTTATTGAAAAATATATTTAACTCTTAATGACTCTTTCTGAATAATACTACCCTCTTAAATGAATATTTAATCCCATTAGAACTTTTATTCAATAAGTTTAACAACAATGCTCTCTTCTATTATTATTGGATTGTTTTTTATTGTTAGTACGGTAAATTCTGCCGACTGTTTCACAAAAGACAACAATGGTTGTATAAGTGGTATGGGTAGTTGTTCTGGTGACACAACTGTTTCTGGTGTTAAATGTGTTGCTGACAATGCATTTAAAGATAATCAAAATATTAACTCAATTCAATTTACTGGTTCTTCTCTTGTATCCATCGGCGCAAGTGCTTTTCAGTCTTCAACTATCACCTCGATTACTTCAGAAGCAGGTTTCTCAACTATTGGAAACAGTGCGTTTCAAGAATCGACCATAATGGCTTTTGATTTTAAAGGAGTAACTTCGATTGGATCTTCAGCTTTCCTTAATTGTGCTTTCATGTATACAACTACAAATTCGGGTACAACCGAAACACTAAAAAGCATTGGAGCCAATGCTTTTAAAGCTACTGGATTTGGAACATTCCCATTCCCAAAAGGTTCAATGACATCAATTGGTGATTTGGCTTTTCAGTCGTCGGCTGTTACTTCAGTGACCACCCCAAAGACAGTTATAACACTTGGAACACAGATATTTGATGGGTGCTACAGATTGACATCCGTTGACTTGAATGGACTTACTCATATTGCAACAAAAATGTTTAGTGCCTGTGTTGCTCTTAAAACAATAACTGGATTTAATGGCGTTGTAACCATAGACGCAAATGCGTTGACTGGAAACACAATTACTTCAATACATTTATATTCGTCTTTGGTGACTCTGAACGATGATTTGTCATCGTTTACAAACATCTTTTTCCATGGAGATACCAAACCAACAACAGTGACTACTTTAAAAACCAGTCTTAAAATCTATGTTAAAGATACATTTACGGGTAATTTTGGAAATGTAGCTGTAATGAAAGCCCAATGTGACTCTTCACATTCTATTATTCTTGGAAAAATACCAGATGGAGCTGTGAACGGAAATGACTGCACAACATGTGCAACAGGGAAATACAGTGGTGATGGTGTCACTGATGTTTGCGACCAAACTTCCGGTGGAGATACCCCAGCTACATGTTCTGTAACTAATTGCCAAACTTGCACCACAAATCCCACAACACTTTGTGACCAGTGTAGTGGTACTAATAAACTATCTGCAAACAAAACAAAGTGTACAACGTCTTGTGCAGCTGGAGAATATGATAGTGGAAATAACATGTGCGCCGCTTGTGGTGTTGCCAATTGCAATTCATGCACATCAAGTGAACCCAACAAATGCACTTCATGTAAAGGTACCAACAAACTTTCAGTTGATAAAACAAAGTGCAGGGCGACATGTCCAAGTGGCCAAACTGCTTCTAATAATAATATGTGTATATCATGTTCAGTGAGTTCATGTTCGGTTTGTGACACTGATTCTACTAAATGTGACAAGTGTAGTGGTACAAATGTCGTCCAAGTAGATCAACTCGCTTGCCTTGCAAAGTGTCCAAATGGAGAATATGCAAAAGGAGCAAATAAACAGTGCACAAAATGTTCAACAAAAAATTGCGCGACTTGTGATGCGAACGACGTTTGTTTGACATGTCCGTCACCTTATATATTCAATGCATCTACTAAGGAATGTGATGCACCCCAAAGTGACTGTGGGGATGGGAAGTTTGGGATGGCTCCAAACTGTGAAGATTGTGGTGTTGAGAATTGCAAGATGTGTGTGGACAAAACAAGTTGTGATACATGTGTCAATGGGTTTGATATTTACTTTGAGAACAAATGCTTGCAAGAGTGCCCAAGTGGCTATTTCAAGAGTCAAACGACATGTGAGAAGTGTAAAGAAACTTATGAAACACCATGCACTGATGAGGAGTGTAGAATGTGTACTGTTGATAATAATAAAGATGCTGCAGTTCATATGAAAATAGCGCTGACAATGTTCATGTTGTTAATCATCATGATTTAAGTGATTTTATTACTTTTCAATATTTGATATGGTTACATAGAAAGAAAACGATAATAATTATAATTAACAAGCACTTTAAAACCCGATAAATAATTATCGGGTCAACAACAATAATTTTCGACCAAATATTAATATATTATTTAATTAGTTATATTTATGGGATGCTCCTCCGTCGCATCCCTCCATTTTTTTTCATAAAGTCAGTCTGGTAACGGGGCTTACATTGACCACCACCACCTTAAACAAAAAAATATTTGCCGCGAGTGTTTTTTGAAGGGAGTCCACTTTTCAGCCACTGTTTGTGAGTCCCCATGTCACCCACTTTCCAAGTCCGTACTGTGTGGACGCGGATGTGGTTCCCCCTCCCCGCTTGCGGGGGGTCAGGGGGGATCCGCGCCAAGGGAGGACTTGGAAAGTGGGTGAAACGGATGCACAAACAGACTGTATGAGTGCGTCTTTATGAGCCTTCTTTTCAATGCTCCGTCTCACTTGGTTTCCACTGACTCGAGGTGATTTATGGCATCC